AGCTCAGATGAATAAAATTACGATTCCGGTGAACGCAACCACTTCTTCTTCTTGAGGAGATATCCTCAGTTCTTATCTGCCTCCGGTTTGGTATGGTCACGTTTTCGTACAGACCCATCACTGGAAGGGCAACGCAATAGGGACTAAAAAATCGAAAATGCGAGTCCCAGGAGCCATTTGAATAGTAGTATACGCAATCGATGGGACAACAAACTTTCGCATTCGAGCCCGAACCTATCTCCAGATCCAGAGCATCAGATAATGGGCTAATCCGTACACAAAGAGTCGCGGTATTTATTGCGCGCGCACAGGCGACAACCTATTTTCCGACGCCGCTAATGTCGGTGAGCCGAGCAGTCATCACACGCGTTAGGTAAGTTCCGCAGATAGCGACACGCATGCCAGTCATCGAATAATAAGAGCACCGGGGGAGGGGGGCAATCATTCTCGATTAAATGCGGGGAGGGGGGTTGCTAAATATCATAGGTATGTAGTAGCCTAATGATTGCATGCTATAAATACCGCAACTGTCTGTGTAGGCAATAACCTTATCTGATTCTGTAACTGGGGCCAGGATGAAGCAGAAATGCGAAACGTCAGGTTTCCTGCCCGCGGTATCACGCCGACTTCCTCTTAAAGGAAGCCTTTCTGTATTTTGTACAAGTCGAGTCTACCCTATACAGGCGCACTGATTATTGGCAATTTTCACTTAATCTAGAAATGAGGCCCAAGGCAGAGTAGGACAAGGGGTCGGTGAATATTCATTCGCTAGTGTCAACATCCAGCGACCTAAACCGGCAAAACAGCGAGCTCGCGGCTCTCAATTGACAGAGCATTAGACTCTGATCATAAACTCGTGAGTTCGAGCCTCGGTGGTGCACCACCTAGGGCTGGGTATGAATGGCTGGCGACGGTTTATAATAATCACAGCCCTCTACCTCAGCCCACGTACGGGTGAAGACACAGCATAACGGTCCTTATCCCCCGTCGTTCGCCCTCGAACCACAAACCGTAGGTAACACATTGTCCAGTCTTCATAACGTTAAAAATATATAATTAATTCGTACCTTCTTTTCCACTTAAGTCCACTTTTTAGATATAATGTCATCGAATACAATATGGCCCGTTACTGCATTCGCTGTCCTTTTTAACATGGCTCTCTTTTTACAAACTCAACCTACATGAACATTCCATCTGCATGGAGGCTTGTTCGCCTCCGGTTTGGTTGCTGCTAATCGCGTTCCGCACTTCTTCACTGGAAGGGTGACGCAATAACCCCCGGAAGAGGACAAAACGAGCGAAAATGCTAGCCACATAAATTATTCGAGAAAAACGCTCGCTATCGTTGGGAGGAGACCCTTATTCGCCTGACATTTGGGATTCCACCTTGAACCCATCTGCAGAGACAGCATCGGGTAGGGGAAATTCGTAAATGCAGAGTCGCGGTTTGTAAAGCGTACAGCTTATCTAGCAGCCCTGTTAATAAGAGTTTACACGTTACCGCAAGTGAGAACGCACTAACGATGAAATAAAAATATGCCACCGCAATAACACAAAACGACAAAATAGGACACCCAAATACGTCTTTTTGTAAAATAAATAACAACATAAAATTGATAGTGCATGTTGTGAACAGTAAAAAAAGACGTCATAGGTACTAATGACATAGAATGCTAAACTGTGGTGTCTTTTAAAACCATTGTAGGTCCCCGTAGTCTCCTGCCGCCGCCGCCGCCTTGTCCTCCAACTCGTCGCTGATTGGCTGATGGCTGCAGCGGTCGCAGTGGCGTGAACACGTGGAAGTGAAGTCCACACAGCGCACCTGCTCGTCCCTCAGGAAGAGGCTGATAAAGAAGGCTGTGTGGGGGGGCGCATAAAGAGGAGCAATCAGATTTAGAAGTGACTGGGGGAGGAGCCCGTCCAGTTATGGAAAAGCTTATCTAATTATACAAAGAATTTGCTCGCTCGAAGCGGTGGTCCCTACAATGGATATGATGCGAGCGACCGATATCGCGACGGAAGAGGTTAAATTCTGGAGCCAACCACTACGAGGGTGCGGTTGCTAGGGCGCGGAGACTGCAAGTAATATCGCGAAGGTAAACTGCAGGATCCTGCTACTGCAATGAGTCATTCGCCACCTGTCTGTACTGAAAGAGAGGACGATCAACAGACTATTTTGGATCAAAAATCCGCTGAGATGCATGGCTAAATTAAGGCAAAGAAGCCCATAATGGTTATGTATTCTGTTACCCACAAAACGTTTTCATCTTACTCTGTTGTTATGGTTTGGTACACTACGACCTGGCAGGTTGTCGCCTCTTTTGCGACCCCTATCCACCCACGCGAAGTTTGTTCACTTCGGGAAACCAATTGGATTGGTTTTTGCACATTCCTGAGTGTATATATACCCGGTGTGTAGTGACAGAGCATGGCTGGTGGCATGGCACTGACGAACTGCAGTTCGATGATGTGCTTATGACCCAGCTGGTAGACCCCAGTGGTGGATCGTTTTGCGCCAACAACCGTCAAGACGTCCATCCCGATGGCTCGATGGATAGGGCGTCTGCCCCTGCCCGTAGATACGCGGGTTCGAAACTCGAGGTTGACGGCAATTTCCGCTCCTACACTTGAGTAGAATATATCCAGCCGACGACGCCTAATGAGGCAGAAGTGGCCTTCTTGGATTCTCTTTTCTTACGATAAAATGTCCTAAAAATATGCTTTTGTTTTCGGCCCAGCTGCTGGTCAGGGACATGCTTGGCTGAATGGAAGCAAATAAGCCCTACTATCCATATGAAGCTTAGGGAATCTAGTATGAGCCCATTTCTGAGTAAATATATATCCTGAAATACCAAAGTATTTGATTAGGAAGCAACGAAAATCTTTGGGGTCCATCGATAACGGGACTAACTCGTCCCATTTTGTATTCGAGCTCATTCTTGAGGCCTGCCAGAAAAACAATGAGTTCGTAGTTCAGTGAATCCGGGATGGGAGCAGGCAAAAAAAGCCAAATAGCTCGTCTGCGCATGCCGCACACAATCTGGTTCCTTCTTAATGAAGCAGGCCGTCATGCGAGGGAGGGTCTTTATCCTAACATGAGTGAGTGTCACATAGGGAAACATAAGATATAATTAGATCCTGAATATCAGTTTTCCAGTAAATGCATTATGCTGCCACGAGAACCGGAGGAGCCATATGTAATGGAACCCACTAACCAAAAGTGATTCTCGCCATCCAGCTCCTCCTAGGGAACTCACACACAAGCGCCTTAGCTAACCAAGTGAGTCAAGCCACTAGCGTTGTGAGGCTATAAAAAGCCTTCGAGAGAGTCCCCAATTACCTAGATCTTTTTATTTGGACCGCAGATTATGCATCTACCCTATCACTAGAAACAAATGTAAACTGGTACGTCCCCCTCCCGCTACACATAATGGTCGTTTGTAGTTCATTAAGATATTCCCAATTGGAATCAATACAGAGCTCGCAGCACGCAATAAAACCGGTACCAGAGTAAGTGCCCTCGTAAGAGTTGTGTAAAAAAATTGTCATAAAATGTATACTTACATATAAAGCAGCAGACGGCGCAGGCAGTGTAGACTGCAATCCAGGCGCCCTTCACATCAAATTGGGAGATAATGGCTGCCGCCAGCAGAGCACTTGGCGTCTAAAACAAAAAAAGCAGAACGGGCATATTTTAGTGCTCACTGTTTGGGACTAAGTATTTTCTTTTTAAATCTCAGCAGAAAATGAAAGAGCGAAAAGGAGTCAGAGATATCCCTCCCCTATATAAAAACAAAAAATGCTTCACAGCTACAGCTCCCTCAGAAAGAAGTCTGTAACTTGACGTAGATCAGTACATTCAAGCAGCTTTATGCGTAGACCCACATCTGCTATGAATATGTGAGTCGATGTCCATCATAAAATGTGCGATAACCACGTGATATTCATTTACATGAGTCGAAGACCCCACAGCTGTTCACTGCAGCGGAAGAATAGCATCGAAGCACGAGTGTCTGGCCCTTTAGCCACGACGGCTAATTAAAAGGGAGTCTTCGAATACTCAGACAAGCATTCATGAAATAGGTATACCATTTGATTATTCTACAAGCATGATCCTGAGTGTGTGAATAGTGGATCCGGTCACAAGCGATCGTTCGAAGAAGAACCAAAATGAAACTTCCCCACTGTGGCAGCGTGTTCGACCACCCGCGTCGCGAGTAGTTATTAAGGTTTACTAATAGAGTGTGTTTGTCCAGCAACGGAATGAAATCGAGTTAAAGATCTGAGGCTTTTCTTGACGTTGAGGTGAGTCCTTCATTGTGATAGCCATGCGCCTGATGGTTGCCTACGGTCCGAATTCAAGTGGTGTAGAAAGGTGGCCGTCGGCCTCCGAAACATACCGCAGTGCTATCAAAATGTGGAACCGCTGACTTTTGTTTACTCGTCTTGGTTGCGCATGCACTGGTTAACGGTACTGCACGAATAGACATTCGCTCTGGATATTGCAGTTCAGCCACCGTGTCTTCCGATTCACTGAAATGCATCACAACACCGCGATATATTATCCTCCCATGTCTACGTATTTAGCAGGCTTGGTGGTTGTTGTCGTTCTTTTGGGCAACAGTAGCTTATGTAGGCTCACTCATTGATCTCTATTCTCTGCATGTGTTCCTACGAAAACGGTGGTTATAGGGTTTTATGGGTGGGGAATTAGGACATGCACTGGAATATAATTTAATAAATGCTAAATGCATTTTTTATTTTACTGTATTTAGAAGTGTTGTTGATTTATATGTGTACATTTTCCTAATCTGTATTATCGTTTAATTTATTGCGGCGAAACCCGATTATCAAATTTCAGCTTTCTTGAATTTCCCGAAAAATCGAAATAGTGGTCAGGAGGTCGTCTACTTCAACTCTTCTGAGGTCCAACTTACCGTTCTCGAGTTAGATTGGTATAGTCCGCGGCGCGAAGCGCCGCGCACACCTTCAATTTACATGCGGATACTTACTCCCAGCGGCCGCGGGAAGCAACTTCGACTACATTTTTTTCACTTTACACCTACTTCTAAAAATCTCCTTCTCTGCCTATTCTATATCCCCACCCCTCAAAAATCTATTATCACCGTTTTTGCAGGAAGAATGCTGGGACTATGGGTGTATGAGTGGCCACTTTTGCTACTTTTGCCTTTTTTGTTGTTGAGGTTCAATACTTGTGTTATATTTGTCACGAAGACTACACTCCAAGTATATTCACTTATTGTCAAGACGTCTGTGCAGAAACTGGATCTGCTAATAGGCTGAGGCCTCACAAAGGGTAAACGTTTCCCATCTTCTGGCCGATCTAAGCGCATAGCGCCCAAATAAATTGCTAATACAAGCGAACATGCGTGTCCCAGAAAGCAATTGAGAAGGAGAAGAAGACTTGATCGCTGGGACAATACGTTTATTCGCCTGACGTTTCGACATCCGTCGCGAATTCCTCATCAGAGACATAAGTAGCGTCCGCGACGGATGTCGAAACGTCAGGCGAATAAACGTATTTTCCCAGCGATCAAGTCTTCTTCTTCGCATCCACTTATTTTTTTAGGCAACCTAGTTTCTCAAATTGGTTGCCGTTTCGCGACTTTTTGTTTTATGCTTACGAAATGACACCCCGGCTGCCATAACTTCAAGGTACCACTGACAAACTGATTCTTAATACTGGGCTTCATTTTTATTATAGCAATGATCAACACTTCCGTTCATGATTTTAATGGCCCATGGGAAAAACCAGTAAAAATCTCCTACGACAAAAAGTAGAGGCAGAGTTCAGGTAATTCCACTTTCAAAAAACTGTGGAACATAAAAACTGCTCCCCCAGAGAGATAAGGAATATTGATTCTGTACAGTGAAAAAAGGCTGCTTAGGTTTTTTCAGAACATCTAGGAGTTGCGTTACGTTGCAGGAAATAAATTCTACACAGCAGGTTACTGCTTACATCATGCGGTAAATTATAAACATAAAAAACCTGCTATTGCGTTTAATTAACTACGCATCACTTCCCACCCACGGTGATTGACTTTTGCATCCTACTTTCGCAAAAGAATCGCGAAGAACTGCGTGAAAGGCATCCTTGGTGACGTTCATTTATTTTGCCATTGCGAATATCCCCGTAAGATCACGCGCAGTGGCAATCCTATCGCAAACAATTCCATCACTCCTTTGTAGAGTTTTTGGCTCAAAGGTTAATGACCAGATAAAACCTGGTTTGGAGCCCAGTTAATGTCTGGCCAAAAAGCCGGAAATGGCAACTTCCTTCACCTTCATCGTGCAACTGCCCACGCGGATCTGCATCGAGCCCCACAGCACAACGCAGCGAAGAGGTCCCGTGTAGCGATCGGTTAACGCCGTCTACCATCGCCTAAATGGCTAGCGCGTCGAGCGTGTAATCAATGGAAAATTTGCATTATCACTGTGGTCCCTGTGTGATTAGCTGTAAGGCATCTGAGTTGACCGCGAAGGCTCAACTGGGCAATCATGTTTCGAAATCTGATCGACGGGGTGAATTATTTATCATGAAAAGAAGCAAATATGCGTACCCCAGATTTTTTGTAAAGAAGACGAAGACGCAATCTCTGGAACGGCAATTTTATTCTTCTGAGCTTTAGTCTCCACACGAGAAGCCATCGTCAGAGAAAGTGAGAAAACAGCAAGCGTTGGCTAGGCGTAAATAGAGGTGGGAGGGGAGGGATTGGCACTTTTGACTGGTCAATGCTCACGCCACGTCCATCCTCACACCATATTATCGTGTGTCACCTACGCGCGCCTTGCTTGCCATCTCCATACCTAAATGCATTATTCGAAGTGCTTATGCACACAGATGCCAACCCGGTCGCATTTATTGCAGCGCTGGAAGTCATGTAGGTGATAACTGAAACAACCGACGACATTAAACACTTAGACCTTTTTTATTAATGGATGGCAAAAAAGCCGATGCATTACGCAGAGTGAGTCAAAAGTATATTGTGTGTAGTCCCGATCGAAAACTGGCAGGGCAACGAGCTCTATTGGTTACAGCGTTGGATCTCTAAATCACAAAGTCGCGAGTTCGAATTTCCGGTGCGGCTCGAGAGTGAACCCAAATTGACGAATGGTCCTGTAACCGAGCGGTAAGGTTCTATCTACCATTATATATATGCAGTAGGACACTACCGACAAATACGAAGAAGACTAAGATGGCCATTTTGGTTTATTATCTATCCACAGCTGGTCATACCCAACCCAAAGCGGTGCCATGTATTTTGTGCCCTACTCGAGGCTCGAATTCAAGACCCTGTTATTTAGAAGT